GGGTTTGGTGAAAGAGTTTGCTGGGAGTGGCAGCCAAAAAAAAAAGAAAAAAAGTATCTCTAAAGAAAGATTCTGAAAGGGATTTGGAGTTTGCTAGATAGTTGCAGTTATACTTAGTAACATTCAAATCCCAGCCCTCTGCTTTCATCTCAGTGAAGACTGCTGGAGTCTGTCAGGGGTGCTTCTGGTGAAATGAGCTCTGGGTAGAAGTCAGAGACCTGCTATCTCGCCCGGTTCTGACACTCGATAGCTTCCTGGGCTATCCCTCTCTCTGGCCTATCTCTAAGTGAGGGAGTAAACAGGATGACCCCTGGGGTTCCTTCCAGCTCGGACACTGACAGATATATCCAAGTTGGAGACAGATTCATGACACAAGGCAGAGGGATGGAGGATGTGGGTTTCGTGGAGCAAGAGAGGGTCCCTCCTAAAGTCAGATGCCCAAAGAGAAATACCTGCAAGGGACGCACGTGAGCAACTGACAGCAGCCTTGTGGGTTCAAAGTCAATCCCACAGACATGGGATTAGTTAAGAACATTTCCCTTCCGTCCTGTCCACCCAGCCTCATCCCTGGACCTTGGGCTAAGAAGAGGTGGCAAGGTCAAGCACAATGGGGTTACATCACAGCCATGTGGACATGGGCTCGCCACCCAGCTTCTCTGGGGCAGGCAGTGCTGCAGACCGAAGCTGTCCCAGAGGTGTGACCCCACTCCTCTGTCCAGTGACTCATCATGACAAATAATTCTCTTTGGCACTTTCAAAGCCCCAAACCTTTGGTGTTATTTTGGAAACAGCAACAAGCAACCCCTATGAGTTCATTGGATGCGAGCCTGGGGTGTGAGCTTCCTGTTCTCCCTGGGACTCCAGGCCCGACAGGTCTAGACCAGCTAAGCCTCAGCTCCTTGAGAACTGGGACTACTTGGCCTAGCACGACCAGGTACTGAGCCCGCCTGGGGTAAATCCTTTCCATCTTGATAAGAAAAGGCTTCTCTCCCTTTCCCCATGGAATAGCTGTGGACCGAGAGGTTCTGGGCCTGAGGGATGGGAGCCCCAGGGCCTGCCTTGCCTCTGTGAACCCAGGCCTGAAGGGCTGCACCAGGGGCGCCCCAGTATGGGTGGTGTATTGTAGAAGAGGGAGGCTGAGTCCATCACCACAGCAGCAAGGGCCTGAGCAAACCCTTTGGCTTTGTAGCCCAGAAGCATCCTTCTATGCTCCTTCCTCCCCTTCCAGAATGTGTTGGTGATCAGTTATATGCAGCATGGCTTAGTGGCTAAAGGCACAACTCTGTAACAAAGTCTCTGGGTTCAGATCTCCACTCTGCCACTCCCAGTCTTAGGCTAGTTACTTAACTGCCCTGTGTCTTGGTTTTCCCATATGTAAAATGGAGATTGTAACAATGTTACTGTCTCAACCACTGTAGTGAGAATTAGCAGAGTTAATGTACACGAACCTAGCAAGTGCTGTTAACCGTGTGCTCTCATTATCTGTCACGCAGGCACTAGAATCATCTTATCATGAGGCACTTGAGTAATGAGAGGCTTTTGAGTCAGTTACAAACAGGTGCACACTAAATAACTGTAATTAATGTGTTTTAGTCCAAAAAAACTAATCCAGTCTTAAGCTACATTAACAAAGAGAAGGGCATCCAGAGAGAGATGGATGAGAATTCCTAGTTTTCCACCTGGATCATGGGAACACGTCAGCCCGGAGATCGCGGGTTGCTAACCATCAGAGTACGCCATGTGTCAGTCCAGGTGTGACAGGAGAAGACAGTGTCTGGTCCCTGGCACAGAGTTTCCAAGACCCCTGGAATCTGTCAAATACCCAAGGACATTAGGAATGCCTTTTGTGTGCCTCTCTTCATCAAACCTGAGTTTATGCTAATGAGATGACTCACAGTAAGCCCTTAGATAGTTTCAAGGGAGGCTCTGCCCACCCCAGAAAGACTAAGCACACAATTAGTCGGAACTTCAGCTCTTCCC